CAGTGGAGGCTACAGACCAATGGCTTTAAGTTGCAGCAAAGCAGGTTTAGATTGGGGATCAGGAAAAACCTCTTCACTCTTAGAACAGTGAAGCAGTGAAGTAGACTGTCTAGGGAAATTGTGGATTCTCTGTCACTGGAGGTGTTCAAGAAGAGGCTGGACAGCCATTGGCCATAGATGATCTAGGCATAGCTATGCCTGCTATATTATGGGTATTTTCCATGCTTCTGGGTTTGCTGGTAGCTGCATTGGGCTGAGAGGGAATCCCCCTCCCTCGTCGTTACATACATAAAGGTTTTTTTTCAGCCTTCCTCAGAGGCATTGAGTGCTGGCTGCAGCCAAGACTGGGGATTTTGACTGGGGTGTGCCAATACTCCTTAAAGCTAGAGTGCCTGGCCAGAGAGTCTTGCCCCTCCACCCAGGAAAAGAATTTTACTGGTCAGTACAGGCTCTGGTCAGATTGGTATGATCTCTAGGCAGTTTTGCCTTCCCCTGTAGTGGGTGTGTAGTTTTCTTCCTGGGAGCTCTTGAGCATAAGCAACCTCTACAGCAGCAGCATATTGGCCACCATGTTCCCCCTGCTTTACTTGTAGCAGGTTAGGGTATCATTTTGTGTCACAGTTGACTACAATTTTGCTAAGTAGTTAGGCAATAGATTTGCATATGCTGATTTGGATATGCAAATCCCATCTAGTCCAACCCCTCAGACAGGGGGTTGGACTAGATCAGTGGTGCTCAACCTTTTGGCCCAATATGCCAAAGGAGTGGCCTGGGATTGTATCCATAAACCAGATGGAGCCCTGTACACCGGGATTGAGCCATGGGGGCACTGGCACCATCCCCACCCAGCCCTGTGCGCTAGGGTGGAGCACCTGACCAAGTGCACAGGGTCAGGGGCTCCCCATGGGTCTGGATGTTTTGCAGTAAGCAAACTGCTCCCCAGCTGCCAAATTTCCAGACCCTGGGGTAGCCCCATGAGTCTAATGCAACCCACAGGCTGAGCACTGAGCACCCCTGGACTAAATGACTCCTGAAGCAGTAGGGCTGGAAGATACCTCCATTCCTGAATCTATACATCTTCAATAAGTGATAGAAACCCTTTTATTTCTCAGCATAAGCCACCACTGACTGGAGGAGCTTAGGAAGAACCTTCTCATAAGACCATTTATTCCCTAATTGTCCATTAAAGGGTTTCTCTTTCTCTGTCTCCCAGAATAACTTGTCCTGGTCTATTAGGCCAAATAGTCAACCAATGGACTGCTGCTCTGATCTGTTCTATTCCTATTTTCCCTGTTACAGATGGCAGGGAAACAGGTTTAATATTTGCTAGGACTATAGTAATTATTTCAAAGCTCTGATAAGTACATTAGTGTGACAGTCTGGGGGATACAGCTGCATCATGTCCTAAATACTGTTTTGTTTTCAAAACACTATTTATTATTGTAACCTTCATTGCAGAAGACAGCAACCTTTCCGACGCAAAGGCTTGACATTAATGCACAGACTAAGCTCAAGAAACTGACAAAAACAAATCAAGGGTCATCAATACTAAAACACCTCTTTTCTACAGGGCAGTTTTCTACTGGTTGGGTAATGGATTGTAAATGTTTCTCTATACAGAAGCCATGAAGTTGGACCTCCTCAAGCTTGTAGAAGGAGGAAATCACAGGGGGCAGAAGGGAGCTTCTCTAAGGCCTTGAACAGGTATTTCGTTTTAAGCGTTCAACACATCTTTTGCACGCTCCAGACAGCGAGAGTACAGATGTGTGCAGCTCTTCAAAAGTGATCCTGGGGGCAGGTGAGGGGGGGGAGCAACATCTTTGAAGAGCTTCCTTTAGGAGCTTTTTGGCTGGAGAAGGAGGTTCCTTGCATGTGTGTCAGCCTCTGGAGGCACAAGGACTGTAAAGCACATATGGGCTGTGCTGGTCTCACGGGGGGTAGGGGTGAGCTGGAGGAGAACAGTGTACTGGGGAATGCTAGAAGACTGGGTAACCCCATGTAACGTCTCCTGGCTGGAAAGCACTGCCACTGCATGCCATGTGATGATTTAAAAAAATGCTCCAACAGAGGTGGGCAAGTGCTGGGGGGAGTAGAAATACTCCAAATCAGAGTGGCATTTGGAGCACTTCAAAACACACATCTGTCCATGGCCTAAAAGGAAACCATTCTACTGTACAAGCCAAAAAATCAAGTCAAGTCAAGAAGGCTGGAAAGGCTACTTGTTTGAAGGGCTCAGACCAAACTCAGGACTTAGAGATAATGAGATTAAAATAGAATGGGGCCAATGCACTTCTCCCCATAAATCTGGGATTTGTTTTCTTTAAAAAATCCAAAGAACATCCTATTAGTAATTCCTTTGTCATGCCTATATTTCCTTGCTTTACTACCATGGTGTTTGAGGAGGGGGCGGGGGGGAAAGAGATGAGAAAGAGACCAAACAAGCAATTTCTAATAGGGGAGGATTGCCTAAACTACAGAAGGGCTTTTAAAGGCTGAAGTTCTTGTTCCAGGGTCTAGATGGCCAGACTGTAGGATCCAATTGCTTAAGAAAGCTGTCACAGACAGATCTGTACCCAAGAATGCATTGAAGAGGCCCAAATCAATTCACAGTGATCAGTCAGTTTACAACAATGGTTCTCAATTCTTTTGGATGAGGCACCTCTCATTAAACTCAAACTCAAAGAACCCTACAGGAGAAAGTGCCAGCTCTTAAGGTTTTGCTTATTTCTTGGCTACAGAAAATTGAGTTCTTTGCAACAGAAAAAATTGCTCTAAGATATCAACAGGTCAGAAGGTTTTTAACACTACAGATTCCTGTTTAAAAAAAAAATCTCTGGATTTATCTTCTGAATCATGCTTGCACACCTAACAGTGAAAGTGTTGCATGGCACCCTGGCAGCATCTCTGAAAGGATCTCAAGGCACTATAGTTGAGAACCACTGGTTTAGATGCACATAGCATTTGGATATAAATTCACCAGACTGGTGTCCATCTAGACAGGAAAAATGAACAGAAACCACAGTATGATTCTCTATCTTCTACTTGCTACAGAAAGGAGTGAATACACTTTACAATCACTACTGTTTGCTGGAATTACTTAATATCTTCAAGAGCATGTATTAAGCTTTATGAAAAGCATTTCTGTAATGAAATGACTGATAAGTCTTTTCAGAAGAGAGCTACATAAATGTTTTAAGTGTTCCTCCTTTGCTCTATCTGTAAATGGACTGCAACTGGCAAAAAACATTGCTTTCTAAAGGTGTTAGTTGTAGCAGTGTTGGTCTAAGGACATAGGCAGACAAGGTTTTTTGGGGTAAAGGTGATATTTTTTTTCAGACTAACTCAATACTGTAGTTGGAAAAATTTGTTCTTGGCAGGCTTTCAGGCACAAATGCCCCTCTTCAGGCATTGGGGGAGTTTGCTGTTTTGTGTTCTCCTAGATGCAATAGAAGCCAATATGCAAAATGCAGGTCTCCATCCAGAAGAACACAAAACAAGAGACCTGCATTTTGCATATTGGCTTCTAATTGCATCTAGAAGAACACAAAACAGCAAACTCCCCCAATGCCTGAAGAGGGGCATTTGTGCCTGAAAGCCTGCCAAGAACAAATTTTTCCAACTACAGTACTGAGTTGGTCTAATAACACATTTACCCCCCTCCCAAACAAAAAAAAACCCAAAAAAAACCTTGTCTTGCTTTCCGAATGGGTTGAAATGCGGCTGAGAGAGAACAGAAGGGAATTTCCTCTTAGGTGTAACATATTGGAAGGAAACTACAGACTGGAGTGAAAAGCTGGGGTTCTTGTCACTATTCTTTATTTAACCAGAAAGAGAGGAGCTAAAAGCACTTTAAATGTGCTTCACTATTTCCATAAGGAACCACTCTTCTCCCTTCATAGCTGGAAAGAAGCAGGCTCACAGAGGGTAAATAATTTAGTGACAGAAGAAGTGTATGACAAATTAGAAATAGGATCTTCAGGACATGGCTTCTTGGTCTGTAATTTATACAGGTTTTAATCTTATGGTTTAGCATAGAAACCTATGAATGAAAGGCATGGGGGTTTTCTTATTCATTTCTGCCTTACTAGAAGCTACAAACATCGTTTCATGTAGTCATTGTTTATTGCCCAAAGTAATGTACAGTTACTGGGGGCTTTGTGTATATTAGAAAGTTTAACCACAAAAAAGCAAGCCGAAAGCACCATGCCATACCTTTCCTTCCATCAGCATGGAAGTCTTGCATACTTCCATATTAAAATGAGTTCTACCAACAAAAATCTGAAATTTTGCTGGCAAAAAATTAAACCAACGCTGTCACCATAGGCGACAAACCCATATACTTCTGCCAGCACAACACTGTAAATAGAGAAGCAGCTATACCAGTAAGAACACCACAGTAACAAAGACACAACACAGCTATTTTCCAGCCTACAGCAGAGATTGTTCCGGCCCAATATTTGATGATTACTACCCAGAGGTTAGTGACCAGAACTCCCTCCGTTCTCCAATGCCCACTCTTTTGCAAATACTTAATTTCTTTCTACATCAAAATGTGCATGAAATGCTGAAGTGAAACACTAAGAAAACCTTAGTTAGTATAGATTTCACTCTTTTCTCAGACTCTGGCCTTTTCTGCTTAAGGAATCATTTATTACAGTTGAAAGTGTGCCTATAGGCCTGAAAGCATTTTCACCAACTACCCACCCCACTCCTTCAGGATGAATCAAAGCTGCACAATCATTTCTGCTTTTGTTCTGCAGGCAGGTTTGATCTGACATTTTGGACTGATGAGCTGTATGAGGTCTTATTCCAAGCTATGCTGGAAAAAAAGCCACAAATGGAACTAGCCATTAGGAGCATAACTATGCAATCACAGCCATCTTACCACAGTAAGTTCCCATTCTTTCAAACCACACATTAAACAAAAACGTAGTGTTTATGGCTGATGAGAGAACAAAGCCGTTTTCATCTGGACTCCCTCCTGCAAACACAGTACTCACCCTGGTGAGACAGCAGGGGGAATGACCAGTGTTAGCTTAAGTTGTGCCTTATGCATTGCTTCAGAGAGGACGTTAGATGGAATTATGAGATGCTGCTGCCAACAGATCCTTTTTATCATTTAACACTGCTGTCATAGGTTAAATATGAGCTACCATTCATATTAACTAACAGTTATTATACAGAAAACTGAAACAGGGATTTCTGCTAATGCACCGTGGATCTGATTCACACACACCGCATCATATTAA